CAAGCATATCTACCAGGCAATGAGGACCTGTTGAAGGTTATTATGTAGTTGAATGATTTAAGAAGATTAAACTGATGGCAGTTTGCTATAAGGATGGTAGACGGAAAACTGGTTTAGGAGGTTGGAAAGGAATTCAACATTCAGGAAACAAGAGAGGAAAGAAGGGGAATGTGAGGCAATAGACAGAAGTCACTCCTTTTGTGCTTCCAGCACTTTTCATACCGTAGACCTTTTTCTCTCAATTGTGAATTCTTGCAAGTGTTTATCTCACCCCAATGGCCTCCCTCCTCCCTCCCTCCCTCTCTCACCTCCTTCTCTCCTTTCTTCCTTCCTTCCTTTCATTTTTCTTTTCCCAAATTACTGAGTATTTGTTACTTTTGTACTGGACATTCATTCTTCCCTGAAAATTTCGAGAAGGAAATGTCAAGGTACAAATGTCCAAACCAGTAGAGAAATTTTATGAGTTTATTTGAACCAAACTAACAGCATATGGTAGGAAGAAAGATCTCAACTTTTCCAAAGAATAGCAGAAGTTTTTTTTATGCATTTGGGGAATTGAGGGATTACATGAGGGTGGGAGACAGCAAGGTAGGGATTGGATTACAGATGCCAACCTATAGTCGCTGGTGCCAATTCAATGCCAACAGGAGTCCCCAATTTGGGGTGTGGTGAAGAAAGAAACTTTATTCAGTGTAAACATCAACTGTGATACAGCAGAGCTGTGTAAACCGCATGTTTTGGGACCAGGCAGCCCTAGGCTAGACCCCTCTCTGGTTAGACAGTTCTGTTGTGCTCCTTGATGGTCGGCTCTCCTCTGCTCTGTACCCATCTGCTTTGCCCTGTTCTGCTCCACTTTGTTCTGGCATTTTTGGCGGTTCAGCTCTACCGGGGAAAACAAAGTCTTCAAAGTCCTCAGTGGAGAGGACACTCCCAAAGCCAGAGAGGAATAGGTTTATATGGACAGGAGTCCACAACCCTGATTAGCCCATTCTCATGCAAATGAGGGCTCCAAATCCTAATTGGTCAGAATAGAGCTGCTCTAATTGGCTGGAGCTGTACAGCTCTGATTGTATAGGGAAAGCCTGAGTCCTAGTGTTTGAAATAGGATTCCAGGAACCCCTTTATAAGGGCTGGCTCTGATGGCAGAAACACAGTGCAGGCAGGCAGTTGAGGACAGAGACAGGCAGTCCGATACCAGCTTCTCCGTGAAGTGCAGTTTGTGTGAGAGGTCCCCACGTCCCTGTGCAAAATGACTGCTAGGTTCTGTTTTTAAAAATTTGAGCCCAGTTAGCCACTAGGAGCCCTTCTTAGTAGGTGTCTTTTTTCTCAGGGTTTACACAAGATAAACCCTGCTCCCTTGAAGGTGGTTATGCCTCCGAGGGGCCTGAAAGGAAAAAGGATTACTCTGGCATTCCAAAGGTGTGTGAACCTAGATGCACAAGAACAATGGACAGGGCTTGCTTAAGGCACAGATAAACCTTTGACAAAAAGACTTATATGCCTGGGGCGTGACTACCCACCATAACCTATCCAGTTAGGAATTTATGATCAGATCACTCGGTGAGGTTACTTTCTATCACCGAGCTTGTCAGTTTTGTGACAGAACTATTCATCCCTAGAAATTTCATTTTCCTGGGGAAGTCAAACAAGGAAGAAAACCAAGTGGGATTCAATAAGCAAACAAGTGGAAGTGTGCGCCAGGCTTTAGGGGTGCACGGAGGAGAGGGCCTCTGATCTATTATGGCCGAGAAAGTACCTCTTGAACCCAGCCTGGGAAAGCCATAGGAAGTCACAGGGAAGTAGGTGAAGGATGAAGCAACGGCACAGAGGAAGGAGGGCCTCCAGTTACTTGGTGAACCTGCATCATAGCACATGGGTTCAGGAGTGAAGGGCTGTGAGGTGAGAGACGTTAGCAGGGCCCGTGTGTCCAGCTAAAGCATTTAGGTTTTATTCCAAACATGTTGGAGGTCCCTGAAGAACTTTACATGGACGAATGACCTTAGCTTTTCTTTAAGGTTCATCAAAGCTGAAGAGTTACAATCTTAGGATCTGAAATCAGATTGAGACGAGGGTGTTACTCATGGTTCAACCACTTGGTGTTTGTGTGACCTTGGACAAGTTACTTAACTTCTCTAAGCCCCAATTTTTTCTTCTCTAAGCTTAAAAAAAAAGCTACCTTTTAAAAAGGTATTGTTGTTTTTATTTTCTAAGAATTAAATGATCTATCATTTGTAACATCCTTTTTTAAAATTTATCTTTATTGTTGAAAGTATTTAGATGTCCCTTTTTTTCCAACCCCCTTTTACCCCCTCCACCCTGCCCCTTCCCAGGCCTTAACACTATTGTCTGTGTCCATGGGTTATGCACATATATATATATATACAAATTCTTTGGTTAATCTCTTAGCACAGTGCCTGGCAAATAGAAAGCCCTCCAAAACTGATAGCTACTCTGACGAGTCCACATATGACCTCTGGCACTGTTATTACTGTAAAAGCAGAGAGGTGTGCAAGATGAGTCAGAGATATGTGCGTAGATAAGCTGGAGGAAGGGAGACGAGTTCGGAGGTCTCTAGGGTAATCTAGGCAAGAATATTCTTCTATTTTCTTGTCCAGTATCCAGCTGTCATCCAGAAGGAATAAAAAAAAAAATTGTGGAATAAGTGACAAGAAAGACTGAGCAAAAAGTGATGAATGATTGGCTCAGAGAAACAAGGGAAAGAATAAAAGACAACCGCAAGGCGTCAAGCTTGGGTGACTGCAGAATTCTGATATGATTGACACAGGGAATCCTTTCTCTTCCCATCCCTTGACTTAGCTTTCTCAGGCCATTGCTTGTCTGACATCTTTGGATGGTCGGCTGCTTTTTCAATCTCATTCCCTCGCTCAGTGACTGTGCTGTGCAGGTCTGCCGCTTTTTTCTGTCTCCAGAACTCCTTGTCCCAACTGTACTGCAGGCATGTCTGAATTTAGAACCTTCACGTTTTTGAAGTCTCCAACTCCACTTTCAGATTGGTGTTGAATACATCTCTTTACTGGCTTCCAAATATGATTTCATTTTCAGATCATCTGGATATCTCTGGGAAAAACTTTAGCATCTCTGCCCCTGTTCAGGGGCATTAATAGAATCCTGTGCTTTTACAATTAATACTGCGTTTGGAACAAAATATTTTTCTGGCTTCTCCATATTGTATAACTGCTACTTTCTGTTTTGTATATGGAATTCTACTTTAGGTCCCAGATGACAACCAACAAACAAACACACTAAAGTGACTCAGCCTTTGGCCTTGTTCTTCCTGCCAATTGGTACTTCTCTGACGCTCAAGACAGTGGGAGAAACCCGAGAGTGTGACGTGAGACCTTGTTCTAACCAAATGATCTGTCTACCATTAAGTCTTGATTTTAGTACAAGGTAATGGCAGGTGGGGCGGAGGCCATGGTTCTCTCGTTTTCCTTCTTTCCTTTTTGTTTTTCTTCTGTTCAATTTTCTGGTTACTAAAAATGCCTTACTGTTTGACAAAGATCAGAAATTTTGAGGTTGTACTGGAGGCCAGGTTCACCAGATGAATTCTCTGCCAACGGTGAGAGAGATTGTTTTTAAGAGAGAACCTTTTAAATAAATGTCTTATACAAAAACAAGCGACACATCATACGTGAGTGTGCAGTGCTCTCTGCCAGTGAAAACGGCAGTGTGCTGACCCACCCAAACTCACTGCCCAGGGATCCTTGGGATCCCGCACACGCGTGGGTGAGCCCGCTGCCCCGAACTAGGGAGGTAGAGCAAAACCCACTGCCTGTGGGGATCGCGTCCTGGTCTCGGCTTCATTAGGTCCCGAGCTCCTGCTAATGAAGTTATTAGGAACTAGTGTAGACTCGAAAGTCAGAGTTTAACAGAAAGAGCCTCCACAGCCGCACACACATTCTACTCTTTCTCTCCACTGGTCACCTAGTTGTGTGTGTGTGTGTGCGCGTGCGCCCGTGTTTCAGAAATAGTGCGTGAGAGATGGGAAATTCATTGTCTCTGTGGGAAAAGCAGTTTCGGGTTCTCAGTGTTTGAGTCAGCTGCTTTCATACTTCTCCAGACTGTAAATAGACCCTGCAGCTATTAAAACATGTTCGTAGTGACAAAAAGAGGGACTCACGGGCTCTTTCCCAATTGCCCTTTGTCCAGTAACAAATCCTTAAACACTTTAATTTGCCTTTTGATTGCCCCTAGTGGCCACACAGTCCCACTCATCTTTGGGGGTGGGCGGGGGCAGGGGGGATCTCTGCCCTTAGTTCTGTGCTGGGAACCTAGTGAGACAAAGAGCTCCCCGGGCTGGCCTGTGTGTCCGGGAGCAGGGGTTGTGGCAGCTGCTTCCAGAGTTCCACTCCCTGAAGGGGGCGCTGGTCTCTTGGGTGTGGGAGAAGGGAGAGGTCAAGAGGACTGGAATGCTACTTAGATCACCGACCAAAAGAAACCAGGAAGTAAGGAGAAATTATTACAGTCTGTTCATAGCTCAGGATGTGAAAGGCAGTAGCCTGGGCCGGTTGGTTATTCATTAGCAAAAAGGAAAGAGCACGGGGGTCAGGACTGGTCAAACTGCAAAGACGGACCTGAAGTAGGGAGAGCGCTCCTGGCAAAGGCAAGATGTGGAGTTAACATCTTCCTCTCCTTCACTCTTTCTTGGGACAAAAGGCAAGGTGACTGTTTTCTGTTCTCAGACGCTTGTCTCCGTAGAGCCCTCTTACTTTGATTCTTGTGGTGGGATTCCTCAGCAGACAAGAAGAAAGGGCATCTTGCCACTGAGCAGCTGGCCAGCTGCCACCCGGTGCTGCTGTGGGACAGCAGCTACAGGCAGGCCGGCGGGTCTCTCCGGGAAGCCAGGTGTGCCTGCCCGACAGCCTGGGAACTGGTGCTGATTGCAGAGCTGCCGGCGGAGGAAGAGAAAGTGAATCTGCAGAGACAAAGGGAAGAGGGAGAGAAACCCCTCTCCCCTCCTCTCCAAAGGGGAGGGCAGCATGGGCAACATCTGCCGGAGGCTCTGGGGGTACTTGAAGCCCTGTCTCCCCTGCTTCTTCCGGGAGACAGACAAACAGGTGGCGCCTGAGAACACAGAGAGCCCCTGCCCCGCTGAGGCTCCCTGGCCGCAGGGCTCCTACTTTGTGGCCCTGTTTGACTACCAGGCTCGGACTGAGGAGGACCTGAGCTTCCATGCGGGCGACAAGCTCCAAGTCCTGGACACTTCCCATGAGGGCTGGTGGTTCGCCAGGCTCTTGGAGAGAAGGGGGGCCAGCTCGGGCCAGCAGCTGGAGGGCTATATTCCTTCTAACTATGTGGCCGAGGACAGGAGCCTGCAGGCAGAGCCGTGAGTAGTGCACACACACTCCTTCTCCATTCTCTGAGGGCGGGCAGTGAGTTTTCCTACCTGTCTGCAACTCTATCTTTTCCAAAGAGCTGCCTAGAAACTATGAGGAAGTCCCGGCAGGAACCTTCTAATTGAAACACACCTCCCACTTCTAAATGAGAGCGAACTGGGCAGGTTATTGTTGTTGAAATGACTTCTAGTTCAGTGTGTAGACCCACAGGCTCTGGGTGTGTCTTCGTCAACATTGAAACATGCCTTTAATACCCTACTTTTTCCTTGGCTGTAAAATGTCAGGCCCCACTTTAACAACAGAACTGCACTTCTTTTGCAGGTATAGTGTAGCCAAATTTTCAAATCTAAAGTCCCCCGCCGCCAATCTCTCAACATTTAAAGCATTACCTCTAGTCCCAAGTTGAATCGTAATCCTTTTCATTCTGATACACACAGACAGGTCTAACTGACATAAAGTATCATTTAGAAGATGCTGCTAGTTTTTCACCACATTTTCATGACTAGACATTTTTCTTCGAGTCCTGGATAGGAAGTTACGCTGCGTAAATTATGATATCTTTTGGTATTTCTTATGATTAAAAACCTGCCAGCTACACACATTCAGTAAGTTTTAACCAGAAAATAATGACAAGATTTCCCCAGAGGAGGAGGTAAAGATTTTATTCTGATATTTGAATAAATGTTTTGAATTATAGTGGACCCAAAGAGGAAAATTTCATGAATTATTTCACTTATCCATCCATCAGCCTGGCTATCTATTCATTCATGCAAGTGCTAGGCACAGTGGTGGCATGTGAGTAGGGGAAAGGGAAAGTTATGGTAGTGGTGGTTGAAGATGAAGTAGATAGAACATGGTCTTGACAATGGAAACTTGGGGTATGGTGGGTTAAGGAGCAAGTGGGGTCTGTCATTGGGCCTAACCTCATTTCTGCCTGGTTCCAGTGAAACCCAAGACTGGAATGTCTGTCAGGACTCATGTTATAGAATGGATCCTTAGTAGAGAAGACCTTGGGATTCACTCATTTTCTCATGTTTTTCCCTATGCGAGCTGCAGTATCCCTCACTGGCCCAGGGGAGAAAATGGTAGGGAAGACCCATGAGTGTTGTTGCTGCTTTCCAAACTCAAACACAAACGTGTGTTTGGCAATTTTTGAAATTCTTTGCAACACTAAGAGCCTATAAATGTTGAGAAGGGTTTTTATTTTAGGCCTCGATAGAGTTGAATTGAAATAGAGACTTTTGCCCTGGCTGGTGTGGCTCAGTTGGTTGGAGCATCATCCCATGAACCAAGAGGTGGTGGGCTGGATTCCAGGTCAGGGCACAGACCAGGTTTCAGTTCAATCCCCAGTTGGGCACATGCAGGAGGCAACCGACCTATGTTTCTCTCTCTTCCTTCCTCTCTGAAATCATTTTGAAAAAAAACAGACACTTTTGAAGAGTAGAATTGATCAGTTCTCAAATGAGAAAATTACCCGCGTGAATATATTACTATTTTTTTAGGGGATATTATTTATTGAGTGCTTACTTACGTGCATTTATATTTCATTACTATGATTTCTGTGGTATTATGTATGTTTTATCCTTATTGTAAGATAGGCCATTAGAATAAACACTATAATATTAATACTAGTGCCTTGAACCCATAATCTACTACATTTAAATCTGTTCAATTCATTTAACTGCTTAGGGCCCCTGATTCCTCATCTGTAAGGTCTCTGGAGTCGCCCAGACCTCTGGATGACCTGATGTTTCATGTGTAGTGGTTCAGCTACACTCATACATGACATACTTCAAGAAAGCCTGTGGAAGACAAGCAATTAAACAATGACAGTGTTTCAAGGTTCAAGCACAGTGTTTTTAATTATTTAGATTCTCCATAATAAACTGAACAAAAACCAACTCAAACATGGCTATTTTTTTATTCTCAGGGACTATCTATAGCCAAGAATACTTTTTCCCTCTGCACATAACTCCTGATCCTTCCTCTTGGAGGTAGTTCTCAGCAGTGTTCCCACGTGTCATTACTGTCCCAGGTCTTCATGGCGGGCTTCCCTTCGAATCTTCACAACCAGGGGAATAAAAACTTGATGCCCACAAGATGCTGCTGCTGTGCCTCCTGGCCAGAATGGGCCACTTGTTTCCTTCCAAGTGCACACTGTGGCCTTCGCCTGTGAGCCCAGGTTCCTAATGAGGGTTCTTGCCGCCAAATGGCTAACCTGCTTCATGACTTTTATAGTGCAGGTAGCTGTAGGCTCTGGAAGACCACTTCATTTCAAGCAGAAGTGATTTTATCTTTGCAGGCTTCTGAGTGAGGGTGCCCAAGTGGCCCACACAGCAACTTAATACCTGGAAATTATACAAAAACGACATCCTTTAATATCTTTCTTCACTGAGTTTTTCAAACATTTTCTTCATTTGCTTTTCTTATGAATACTGTTTTTGTTTCAATGAATTTATTTAAATGTTTGCTTTGTCTCTAGAGATATATCCTGGTGTTACTTTTTGATGAGTAAAAGTCAAGCAACTATTCAAACTGATATTGTCAAAGTAGACATAATGTTCTATATGATAAAGCAGGACTAATTTTTGTTAAGCAACTATTATGTCCTGTTCACTAGGTCTTGGTGCTCCTAAGGAAAAAAACACACACACACACACCACAAGATTTGCCTCTATTAAGTCTGTCTGGTTAACTCAGAAAATTCCCTTTGCTAGTACCACAGTGAGAATCTATATGGTAAATACAAGTCAGAGCAATCTTTGAGTTCTTCTGGTGGATCTCAACTAGGTTCAAACATTAGTAGTATAGAGTTCTAATTGAGATATAATGCTGGTTGCCCTTTATGAATCTGGCTTTGTCATGACTTAGCTGTGTGACTTTGAGCAAATTATTTGACCCTCTGCCTTAGTTTCTTATCTGTAAAATAGGAATAAAAAGAACACCTTTTTTCATAGGATCGTTATGTGACATAAATGAGATTATTTGCGCAGAAAGTGTGCACTGTAGAGGAACTGACACCTAGTGAGGCCTTAATAATGTTATGATTTAGTTGGGCAGCTTCTCCTGCATTTGTCTACATGGACCGTATGCCTCCACTCTAGCCTCAGCTCACATGCTGAGCATCTTTCAGTGTTTCTTCCACCCTTCCCCTCACCTGTGATCTTGGGCGGCTATTCTCAGGCCTGCAAACCTCTCCCTCCTCTTCTTTTTCTGACCAGCTCTCCTATATCCTTTAGGTCTCACCTTGTTTGTTCCTCACTCCCTGCAGCCTTTCCTGACATTCTAGACTACATTAGGTGCTCCTGCTTAGAGCCTTTAACCTCCTTTGTCCTTATTGCTTATTTATTCTCTGCATGACTATAAGCTCAGGATGTGATAGGTGGGAAGGGCAGCCAATCACTGCCTTGGACCCCAGAGTTTAGTGTAGTGTCTATGCATAATCAGCACTCATCAATGATGGTTGGATAAGTAACTAAATGAGTGATTGCTTATCTACAAATCTCAGGTATTTTAAAGAACAGCTGACAGAGCCATCTCTTTCCTTCAACTGTTCCTCCCTGAGTTGCTTTTTTGCCTACCAGGAAAATCAACTGAGTTTCCTCATTAAAGGCATATGCTTTTTGCATTCTTTTCTCAGTGAATTGTTCATGCCTTAACTTTTGGTTAGACTCATAGTCATAATAGTATAATTTCCAGGCTCCCAGAAATTAGTGGCTCTAATCCACCCCTGGAGAAAATACTTAGGGGTCACAGACACATGGGAATATTCTTTGTAATGTAGAATGATCATGGGGCCAGGAATAGATTGTGAATCTCATTGAAGTGGTATCTAAACATATTACACATATTAAACTATACTGTGGTTATATTTAGAGTAAAGGAATTACTGGTGTGAGATTTTAAATGGACAGAAAACCCAAACCCAATTTACAAATTTAATGTTATTGGTCAGACTTGTAAGTTCAGTTTTTGTGCTCAACATGCATAATTTCAAATTATTATGCATATAAGATAATTTTCAGTGTGCACATGTTGAAAGTTTGACTATTTTACTGAATACTGCATGAATAGATTTTTCACTCGTACAGTCTAAAACATTACCAAACAAAATAATTTTATGCTCTTTTTTACTAGTTTTCTTACTAATTAGCTGCTGATTTTTTTTGGTAGCATCTTCTGACTCCCATTTTTAATGGGCATTCTTGGCCCTGGAAGGATTGGGCCAGTTTTTCTGGGGAAGGTAGTTATGCAGATTAATAGCAACTTGAATGACCTGCTTACAGCTATTTTCCTGAAGCCTGCAAATTTAGTATTAGTTTATGTGGGTATTTCTCTGAAGATTAATGTAACAGAAGAATTTTGCTAAAACGCATAGATGCAAATGTAGAACACGTGATCTATATTTCCCACCTTCTTGCTTATTTGGCTTATTTCAAATGCTATAATAAACTATCTCTTGTGTAAGATCTTTTTGTCATGATGCCATTTTTTCTGCAAACTTTTTCAGTTAGATTTTCTTATATTTAAAATGGAATTAACTTAGTTTTAGAATTTTAATATTTTTATTTCTTATTTTTATTCATGTGGCATATTTTATACTGCATTTAAATTCAAACTAGGTTTCTGAGTTAGATATTTTAAAAATCAATACTGTTCCTTTTTTAAGGGTAAAAGGAGAATGCAATTCAAGAAGTACTATTATTGCCCTGCTGGTGTGGTTCAGTGGTTGAGCATGGAGCCATGAACCAGAAGGTCATGGCTCTATTCCCAGTCAGGTCACATGTCCAGATTGGAGGCTTGATCCCCAGTAGGGGGTATGGAGGAGGCAGTCAATCAATGATACTATTTCATTATTGATATTTCTAATCTCTCCTTCTCCCTTTCTCTGAAATCAATAAAAACATATTTAAAAAGAAAGTACTATTATTAAGAATGTTTGCAAATTAAGAAATGTTATTAGTAAGAACTTTTGAACTTTATATTAGAT